ATGGGAGCGTATTTCCATTTCAGCGGAGGATCTTCAAATGGTCTACACCTCGGATAACTTTAAGAATCTTGAAAATATTCAAAGCTTTCGAAGTCCTTTGTTCCGACTTCACCGCAGCGGAGGCGCATGCGGCATTCTTTGGAAACTGGTGTCATTGGCATGCCAGAGGTCCCCCAGGCGTGGACTCAAGGAATTCTCGCCAGAAAAAAATGTGGAGTTGTATCCAAATCGAACTAAAATCATCAAACATCATCAAGCACTGTTGAAACTTGAAACACAATATGTTCAATATACAGACAAATATAGACATTGACATGTTGACTGAAAAATGATGCACGAGTTTCATGGACTTTTCATCAAGACCAAATAAGTGCCTTTGACCACAGACTTGTCAGCAAGCACTTGTGAAGAACTTGTGTTGCCAAATTATGCCAAATTACCAAATATCATCAAATGTATCAAATGTCTATGATTCCCAAATGTTACATTTTCATAGATGTTTAACATTGTTCAACATTGATTCATGCATCGTTGACTCATATTGTTTCATCATTTTTCAGGTCATCATCCGAGGGCCCTACGACATGGGCGGCTGCGGGGACTTGGAGGTGGGCACCGCAGGAAGCCACTACGGTGAATCCCGTATATTTCCTTCGGAAAACAAGAAATGCCGTTGAAACATGAAATAAACTTGTAAATTATATACAATTGTCAAAATTGAAATTTCTTTGTCCGCTTTTGTCATTGTTTGCATCCTGTTGAAATGTAAGACAAACAATGACATTAAAAGATAGTTTTGGCACATGCCCATCAAATGCAAAAGTCCTCAGCCACCCTCGTGTATTTTTCTACATCCATGGGTATGGCAAGTGGGGTCACGACTACACTGACTAGACCAGACTGACTAATACTGACTAGACAGGGACATGTTTTGGTGGTCTTGTCTGAGGTGGTGGCAGACACGTCGGATGACCCAGCCATGCAAGCCGGAATGAAGGATGAAGGAAGATCTACAGGTAACAATCGGTCACAACTGGTAACAACTGTCTGCAGATGCAGGAGAGTGCTACGGCTAGAAGAATTACATGTAGCTCAATGATATGCTAAATGTAGCTCAGCTGTAGCTCAGCTGTAGCTCAGCTGTAGCTCACCCTGCCTATCCGAAGTCGATCCGGAGCGAACCGGTTGTCATTCGAGTCATTCGTTGATTTCGTTGTCGATTGACGGATTGACGTTGTCCCAAGGAGTGCCTTCAGCGGTGGCAGGAGGTGGAAAAGTGTGGTCTGGGAATGCCTTGAGACGAGGCGGGAGACTCGCCTCGATTTGTCAACTCGATACATCGATACGTCGATAATTACGTCGAAAAATTGCCTTCTTTTCGCTTCTTTTGCTGTTCAAATTTGAAATTCTGGTTCAAATTCTGGTTTGAAGTCGATTCAATTTCCATTCTGTTGTGCTGAGCGCCTAAGAATGCCATCAAGGCCAGATGGTTCTCTGCCTCAAGAATCACAGAATCGATTGCCTGGACCTCAGCTGCAACTCTGGTGGTGCATGAATGTTCCAGGGCGCTTTCCAGTGACTTTCCAGTGACTAAGTCTTTAAGTATCTGTGCTTGGAGTTTTTGATGTTCCACGGGCAGGTTCTCCGCTTGTGTCAGCCGAATCAAACCATTGCTGGATGGAAAGCCCGGAGCCCTACCGGACGACGCTGACATTGCTGAGGACAAGGACATACGAATCAACGTTGCTGGAAGAGACTCCATCAGATATATCCAGATACTTAATAGAGCTGCATTTGATTCATGATGGTTTTGAAGGGAGTTTTTTTTTTTGCGGCAGGTTTTGGATTTGTTTTGGGGTTCCTGGTTCTATGCTTTCCTGCTTCTCTGCTTCTCTCCTTCTCTGCTTTTCCTCTTCTCTGCTTTTCTGCTTCTCTGCTTTTCTGCTTCTCTACTTTTCTGCTTTCCCTGCTTATTTGCTTTTCTGCTTCTCTGCTTTCCCTGCTTCTTTGCTTTTCTGCTTTTGTGCCTTTCTACTTCTACTATTCTACTTTTTCTTCTATCAGTCTGTGCCTTTCTCCTGTTTGTATCCTAAATGAACCCCTAGAGAGACCCTAGGTGAAACCCAAAGAAACCCGAAAGAAATCCTGATCTGATAAGAAATCCTGATAAGAAACCCTACATGAAACCCTAAATGAACCCTAAAGAAACCATACATTAACCCTAAAGAAACCATAAATGAAACCCTAAAGAAACTTTAACTGAAACCCTAAATGAAATCCCAAAGAAACCCTAAACGACACTCTAAAGAAACCCTAAAGAAAACCCAAAATGAAACCCTAAAGAAACCCTAAATGAAACTCCAAAGAAACCCTAAAGAATCCCACATGAACGTTGAGAAATCCTGATAAGAAACCCGAAATATGACACCCTAAAGAAAACCCTAAATAAAACTCTAAAGAAACCCTAAATGAAACCCTAAATGAAAGCCTAAAGACGTTT